GTGATTTGGTTGGTGCATGTCGTGTTGCATCGGAGAATTTTGCTTTTTCCTTTATGTATGTTGAGACCTACTGCTGCAGAGGCTTCTGCTACACTGGTCGTCTTCTCTTGCATTTGTTGTTGCGTGTGCGATAGAAGAGCCAGGTCATCTGCGAAGTTGAGATCGTCCATCTGCGTCCTAACTGTCCAGTTGATACCGTGCTTCCCTCGAGATTCTGACGTCTTCATAATCCAGTCGATGACCAGGAGAAAGAGAAAGAGTGAGAGTAAGCAACCTTGCCTGACACCGAAAGAGTCTTCCAGCTGACCTCCGTGTACGATTTTGCAGTTGAATCCATCATAAGATTTCCGTATGATGTTAACTATTTTCTCAGGCACACCTGCCTAGATAGACAAAACTCTGTTTTGCAACTACCTGTCACGACGGGTGAGTAGATCAGTAGAGTTTTATTCATTTGTAATACAATGAAATATGTTAAGTACGTTTTACTGGTTAAGTCAACATTTTTTTGTCGAAAACTGTCCTTAAAAAAGAAATATTCTAATTCTCCCACAAAAGATTGAATTTTTCCCATTAGTTAGTTAGTTATTATTATACCATAACTATAAACTGTAGTAGCATTGTTTTCATTCAAAATTCAATATGTGCATGATGAATAATTAAACAAACAATAAATAGCATTGAACATTGAACAAACCACGAAAAAAAACAAAACAATAAACCAACCACATTAATTAAACAATGTAGTAGTACTTCATCATTTGAAATTCAAAAATCACTCCTAACTATTATTATTATTATGATTATTACTATTATTTATAACTGGCCTAATTAATTTCAAGAATTTTCTTAACTACTACTACTACTACTTCACGTAATGAATAGTTTAGATGGATTAAATGAACTTGTTGCCTAAATGTTGTTGTTGATCTTACTTATATAGAAAAAAAATCTTAAGATACAGTAACAAGCACGAAGAGATAGAAAATACAACTAACAATAGATTGAATGAATAAGTACAGTAAAAAGAAAACAATTTTTTTCTAATGAATAACCTTGAACTAGGTAAACCTATGAAATAGAATTTATATCCGGCAGAAAAAGAAAATTTTTTACTACCAATTCCAATAAGAATTGGGCGATTTAGTTTTTGGTACGCCTGCACATAAACACGTCAACTTGATATACTACTTGAACTATTACGAGTTTACTGCCTTAGTCGGGAAACAAGAGAGCGAGGATCGAGGATCCGGTTACACGACATCCTACTCAAATCCGATTATCCCAACCCCCATATTTAGTTTGAATAAGAAGACTTGATATGAAGTAGAACGTGTATTCTACAAGCATTCAGAAAGTACGAGGTCCGAATTCAGAAGAGGCTAGGGATCCCGTACTAGGGATCCGGGACCGAGTCCTTGTCCTTCTCCTGGTCATAAAACGTTACAGATAATGCATATTTATACATTTAGGTCGAATAGGAAACAGCATCGAATTCTGTGGCATTGACAGTTAAGACGACCAATAGGAAGCAATATTTGAAGTGATATTGATAGTCAGGACAACCAATCAGTAAGAACATTTGAAATGACATTGACAGTCCGAATGGCCAATAAGAGACAACATTGAAGTATTTGACTTTGACAGTTAAAACGACCATAATTTTGGCCAATAGGATTTGACCAATAATTCTCTTAGGATATTTGGTGAATATGCTAACAGTTTTTACTCCCGTTTCTCTTTTAGAGAAATAAGAATATGAAGTTAGTGAAAGCTGAGAAGATGAAAAATTGAATGCAAATCAAATTTATGAGATAGAAAAGTTGATGAACAGGTGAGAGAATTCATGGAGATAGTGGAATTTCCATTGAAAACTTGAAACGATTGGAGGACGGCTTCATTTTGGTACGGGCTCATCAGGAGTGTTTGTTCACGAACTCACTGAAGAGGATCAGAGTGTCGCTTCTTCATCTTCACCTTACTCAGATCAATGAACCGAGATATTCAATGTTTATTGAATCCGTAAGTCTCGGGTTCGATCCACGATGAGGAGAGAGTTGTGAATACTCACTGTTGAGTAGTCTCATACTAAAACGAAATAGCCATCATATGCCTTCTGGTTTTCAATGATGGTCTAAATTAGTTTACTTCATGATTAAACAAATGAAAGCATTAATTAATTTGTACATTTACTCTAATTTATTATTAACCTCAACTGAAATTAGAACATATATATATACTACTAACATTATGTTATGAGTAGTAAAAATTGGATCAAATAAAAATATTTTCGCAGGACAATGTCAATATAGACATTTTTGTAAGTATTGAATGACCGTCATGTTATGTGACGAACTGATGTGAAATCTATATGCGGACCTTTTAGGTATCAACTCAATAGTCACCTTAATATACCTAAAGATCCTAGGTGTGGTTTAATGACTTATTAAGGGGTTCCAACGAATCAGTGATCAGATAATTCTTATGTCATATAATTGATTCCTAACAGTATGATTGAGCAAAGGACTACTGGTGACTTATTCGTGGTAACTTTTATCAGAAATGAGCATTAGTCTCATTTCTTATGATGTTATAAAATCAACGAGTAAACTTATCAGTGTATATAGCAAAGCGTGGTGTTTACAAGTACGACCTTTAAATCTATACGTCAGTCCCATGTTGTAGGTTGTGTAAGTACAATCAAATTAATTTACATCATGAGAGTATGTCTTGAGAATCTAAAAAATTTTCATAGAAATAATATTTGCCTCTTCAACTCTTATAGACGATAAGATAAACGACCGTTTTTATCTGCTTACTGTATATAGGAATGATTTTGAAACAATGAATCTATCATTGTGAGACAACCATTCGAAACCTGGAAGCATTGAATGTGTAGTTCGTTTCACTTGAAACTCATCAGCTGCATCGTAGTGTTGACAATCCATTCTAATTTGAACATTTTCAAATAAAAAATCATCTGACCCCTGGAAGCACTGGATGACCATTTCAAATTATATCTCTGTGCTGATATGGTATGGCAACATGAACTGATGTACTTACGTACGAAGTTCTACGTTGCATCTGACTGACTGACTGATCAGCTTTAAAACGCAATTTTTTTCGGTGTTCTAATAAAAACCTATGAATTTCAACTGTTCATTCTACCATACATGATAGAAGACGCTTGCGTAATATCGTTATTAGTCATGTATATATCAATAAATGCCTTACTCATTAGCCTAGTGGCTTGAGTGTTCGTGTACGACACTGTAGATCTCATGTAATGCGATTGTGTACACACACTGCTTAGTTATGTCATACTCGGATGAAACAACCATTCACTGTTTGAAGCTTACTGAAATGCTCGTCAACTGATATGCTTGAAGCCATTGCGAGTTCACCTAACTCGGGAAGTGAGAGCGAAGACAAATGATCCAGTGACACGATAGGCTAGTCCAAGTGCGTTCTGGGGATCTAACGTCTCAAACACTTAATAATCGTCATCTACCTTGAGATTGCTTCATGATATACACAATGAAAGTATAGTGTAACGGAGTCAAAGTCACTACTATATATGATGTTGCTAACTCGTTCTGTTTTCTTTCCAACTCAAGGCGATCAAACAGAAACGCTTTAGAAGCTGAAGAACAAGCCCTGAGTGCTTGCTCCACACTTACAGGATGACTCATAAGACATTGGTACACTACCCCACCACCCTATTCCTGTAAAAAAACACCGCGTTATTTAATTTTCAAATGAAAAACAGTGCCGTGACAACCATTTCGTGTTCTCTCTTGGTATGAGGCGTTAAACTAACCTTGTGTGTGTTGTGCTTTTTGTTAGATCTTCTCCGCCCTTCATTGACTGCTGATTACACGTGTTACAATAGTGCACGCTATAAATCCTCTCTCTACAGAGATAAATACATTCTATACTGCTGAACACCGATGTTTGCAAAAATTCAACTCTTCCAACCTAATACTACACCACAAAACATAGCTCGTCGAGGCAGTCGGTGGTTAGGCATAAGTAACACATGTCACAACCACCTCAACTGATGAAGTTTCGCCGCTTCATCTATTGATCTGCCATCCTAACCTAATACTCGATTCCTAACGAGAGCATTGCTTACTCGGTTGTCCCACGATATACGAGCAATGCTTCTAAAGACATCTATGATCGAATACTAGTAACCTACGAACATCTTCTACTCTCAGTGGCCATGTTTCACAGCCATAAAGTAAGACAGAGCGAACTTCTGCACAGTACACTCGTCCTTTAGTCAGCAAACGGATATCTCGCCTGCGCCATAAATGACACAGATTGACAAAAGCCAATCGAGCCTTCTGTATCCGAGCTGAGATTTCGTCAGTCACCAGGCTATCAGGGCTGATGAGACTCCCAATATAAGTGAAGTGATCAACACGCTCGACTACTTCACTCTCTATCACTAGTTCAGGTGCCGATGCAACCCAGTCTTGAAGCAACATTTTGCATTTCGAGGGGGAAAACCGCATCCCAAAAATGCTTGCATTGTTGCTTATGGTAGGTAGTCAGAAGACTGTGCATTTTGTCAGCGTCTTCACCGAATAAAACTATGTCGTCGGCATATTCTAGATCAGTAAGCGACTTTCCTGGTAGAAGGTCAACCCCTGAAAAATCTGACGAGCTTAATGTTAACTCTAAGAGGATGTCTACGACAAAGTTAGACAAGAATGGAATATGTATATATATATATATATATATATATATATATATATATATATATATATATATATATACATGTATTCTAAACTGCTGAACACCGATGTTTGCAAAAAACTCAATTCTTTATTTTCAATAAAATTCTGACAGAAAGATAAATTTATCTCTATATTTATATATCCAGTTTCACAAGTAACAATATCAATGACAACGTGCACAACAATGAAAAAAGAATGCGACAGTGAGACACACACACACAGTGAGAGAGACAGACAGCGAGAAATCGATAACCATCATGATACAATCGCTTCAGCTGGTTGCCATAATGGTTTCTTTGTAAAACTACTAGATTGAATCATTGAATCATCATCTATGGAATTTTTATTGGTCAATGACGATGCTGTGAATAGTAATTCATCAGTAGTATTAGTATTATCAGTAGTAGTATAAGTTTTGTGTGCATATTTTGCCAGCAAATCCGACCAACATAATGGTTGTAATTTCGTATCCATGATAGTAGACATGATTGACATAGGAGCATTTAGCGTTGGTTGTTGTCTTAAAAATAACTTTGATTGATGGAAAGGTTTTTTCACTGGTTTAGTGTCATTCAGTCTGTAAAAAATTAAAAGACAAAATTAACATTTATTGGACATTTGAAATCATCAATCAATCATTGTTAGACCAACACCGTTAGACACCTGGAAGCACTGAAACACGGCCGTTTCGTCCTGGTATGGGACTCCTCAGCAGTGCGCAGCCACGACTCCTGCTCCTCGCAGGATTCGAACCCGGGACCTTTGGCAATGTAGGCGAACGCCTTACCATCGGACCACTGGGCCGACTGATATCCAACGGTGTTAATGTCTAACTCTGATTGATCTAGTGATTTTGCGCGACCTCACCCATTTGCCTTTAGGAAACTGAGTATTTGGTAGAGTTTCGTTCTTCATGAAACTGGATATTTTTGGTTTGTAGAGCTTTCATTGTTCTTCTGAACAACATCATCAGACATCCACGATGATTATCCGCCTGATCTACCAATTTCCTTTACCATCTGAAAATCATATGGGACGCAATATTGTTTGACCGCAAAACTTCAGGAACAGAAGTGAATTATTCAAATTTCATCACGTACCACTGGTAGATTGGTCTAGACAAGCATAGGATCACGAAGCAAATCGAAGGTGCAAAGGATATGGTCAAAATAAACAGACGTACAATGACAACCAATTCGGTCTCTCGTGCTGTTACGGGTATGAGGGCGGTTGTCACTTCCCGGCTGCCCACACCGTGGAAGGTTGTTTCTTGAGGGACCTGAAAAGGAAGGTGGATTAGTGTTGGTGCGTGACCGCAGAGCCCAAGGGACAACTGCTTGAGGCCGGTCACGCACGGCCTTTTTATCAAATGTTTTTTGAGCATTAGCTCCGTTCCTAAAGGCCCCTAGTGGACACCCTTACCCAAGGAGATGGAAATCCATGAGGTAGGGTGAGGTGTGACATTTTTAGGGTCACCCTTTTCTAACCCTTCCTTCCTTGTGAGAAGGCAGCATCGCTGCAGATGCTGGTTGTCCGAGGGAAACACCTTACTGCTGTCACACCCCTCTGCAGTCAGCAGTACGACTTCGCCCTCAGACCTTGGGTAGCTGCTTTTAGTCTCATCGTTCTCCAATCGACCTGTCTGGCATGGTAGAACCTTGAGGAACATATGTTCAAGCCAGTATAGCTCGGTTTGGTCATCACGATAGGCAAGTCCGACCACCACGTCAATGACAACCAATGAAAATCGAGGACAACAGGACAGGCTGAGAGTTATATATGTGGAAAAATTCAGTTATTTCACTTCTCTGCCTGAAATTTGTGCTGCTGATGACATTGTTGTTCAGAAGATCAACGAAAGCTCCATCATCAAAACATCCAAGTTGGAGAACGAAACTCCACCACAATCATCCTCCATATGGGCTACAAATTTTCTCCACCAACGCAAATCGACTAAGGTTAAATAGGAACAATGGAAGTCTAAAAAGGAAAATGGAGTGTGTGTGAATGTAACTGACCTAGTGAGACAGATTTTATGTCAAATAATAATCATGAATACTGTACTAGTTACAATGATTAACTTTTCATTTTCTTAGATAATTCAGACCTGCTAAAAACGACTTCAAGGTATAATAATAGATTTGTATTGAAAGTCTGAATTTTCTTATTGATGTTAAAGACTGCATCTGGAATACGCTTCACCTCATAGCGTAAGTCAGTGGCTATCGGTCGTACAAAGTAACCAAGTAAATAATGCGATAGCGTTTGAAGTGAATAGTACTAAGTTTGAGTTCATCTATTTTGGGATGCAGGTATATCCAGAGATGGAATACAAATACTCTGAGTAGGACAAAACACATGTCATGTAGCTGACTACAATCCACCTATAAGATTTTAATGCATTGTTGTGTCATTTCTTGATCCGTTGTTAATCGTTAGATCTTTCCTAATTTAGGCTTACAACAGCTAATTTTGAATATTGACTGACTGACTAGTAAATCAGATTAAAAAAACACACATATTCTAACTACTTAGGTTGATGTGACCTTTTTAGTGTTGTCAATCAACATAAATATGTCTGGCTTTTTTTCAAAATAACGCGCTCACCAGTTCAAGAACAATGGTGATCGTCTATATTTACACCTTATACATATCTTGTTCTGTTGATTGTCAATCAACATTAAAATACCATGATATATTTGAACAAATCTATACGGGAAAATTACGTAAAGTATATCAATCATTGGTTGAATTTAAGGCTATGTAGGATAACTGCTTTTAAGGCAAAAAAAAGGCTGTCAGAAGATGAAATTTCTCTCTACAGTCAGTCAGTTACAACGTAAAACTAGTACGTGCGTACACAAGTTCAGGAAGCCTTACCACGCAACTGTCACTTCAAATTCTACAGTAGTAAATGTAGTAGAAGTAACAGCAGTAATGGAGAAGATTATGGTTCGACAATATTATTCAAGAAGTATAGTTCAATCAGATAACTTTAGAAAGAGAAAGATAGAGATGTTGAAGAATTCAGAAGATTAGAATTTGAGAGAACACAAAGAATGTGTTAGGAAATTCATCAAATATCTTAAGATAATTATTTTCGGAAGTCTAATTCCGTTGGTCAATCCCTACTGGTCAATATAATGGTCATCCTAGCTGTTAATGTCACAGACACTTCAATGTTGTTTCCTATTCAACCTAACTGTCTAAATATGCATTATCTATAAAGCTTGTTATCCCTTCTGTAATCGACCCAATAAATAAATTCATTTTTTACAGTGTTGTGTTCTGATATATTGGAGATTTGGGAACAGTATTTGGGGGTCGTATTGGAATACCTGAATTTGGTCAGTCGGTAGGATTTCGAATAGCTACATAGCAGCATTATAACAGAATAGATGCATCCGCGATATTGCAAACGATTTTGAGCCGTACCGTTCAAGATCTCTAACCATCCGTTACTATGGTATTGCTGACCCCAATCAGGAAGACTACATCTACCAACATGACTCAGTTCACTTGTCAATGACTTCATGGATTTCTGCCATTTTTGGTTTGGTCGCCCCTAACTTTCTTCCAACCTACTCCTACACCACAAAACAAAGCTCGACGAGGCAGTCGGTGATTAGGCATACGTAATACATGTCCCAACCATCTCAACTGATATAGTTTCATTACTTCATCTATTGATCTGCCATCCTTACCTAATACTCGTTTCCTAACTATAGCATAGCTTACTCGGTTGTCCCAGGATATACGAGCAATGCTCCGAAGACATCTATAAACGAATACTGATAACCTAACAGTTATGTTTCGCATCCATATAGTCGGACTGAGCGAATTACTGCGCAGTACACTCGTCCTCTGGTTAGCAAACTGATATCTCGCCTGAGCCATAGGTGACGCAGGTTGTCAAAAGCCAATCGAGCCTTCTGTATCCGTGTTGAGATTTCATCACACACAGAGCCATCAACACTGATAAGACTCTCGAGATAAGGGAAGTGGTCAACATGCTCAACTACTTCACTCACTATCACTAGTTCAGGTGCGGATACAACGCAATCCTGAAGCAACGTTTTGTGTTTCGACGGGGAAAACTGCATCCCTAACATGCTTGCATTGTTGCTCGGGGTGGTCAGAAGACTCTGCACTTTAGCAGCATCTTCACCAAGTAGGTCTATGTCATCGGTATATTCTAAGTCTCAATAAGCGAGCCTCCTGGTAGAAGGTCCACCCCTGAAAAGTCAGACAAAGGTAATATTTTCTCTAACAGCATTATCTGTCTACATGAAATTTTGATTCATCATAGGACACAATCAGCTGCGACACAAAACATTTCCTTACTTGGAATCCTTACGCCCAAAAGAATAAGACCTAAGAACACATTACGCCGAGAAACAGAGACATACACGAGAAGAATGAACAACAGTTGAATAGAACTAGAAAAGAAAGCTGAAGACAAAGTTGGTCGGAGAATGCTGGTAGGCGGCCTATGTTCCATTGGGGTGGGGGGGGGTAAGAGACGTAAATAAAAGGAGAAATATGCTGTATAATCTGAATAGAAATAATGATTATTCTTCATTGTATATTACAGTGTCTTCGAATATTCCTTCTTAAGATTCAGTGGCAGCTAAATATTCACACAATATACAAATCACTGAATTTATGAATAGACTGAGATACTGTCCAAATGTCTGAACCCGATGTAAAAGCGGTTTCCTTACGAATGCCATTCCACGAGCGTTTGATCCAAAAGTCTAATGCAGAAGAAAGTGCAGCAACGAAAGGACAAGCGTAGTTTCATGATAACTAGAGATTGATAATGGGTTCATACCCTATTGGTTCCTTCACGATCCTGGAACCCATCTACACCAATGATTCAGAATCAAGGCCTTAGATGGATCCTCCATATTTACCAACCTGGTTTAAACCTCAGAAAGACATGGGATTTCTGAGCTTTCAGTTTCGTAAACAATACTTTTGCAAGGGGAAAGCAGTAAATAGGATCTCTCTGACAGTAAGTGTACACCTATGAACATGTGAGAGGATTTGGAAAGAGAGAGAGTCAGTAATCGGACTATCTCTACTCTTAACCGTACCACAGCATTCGGATGATATATCCAAATGGATGTACATAGAAGGGGAAAATTTCCTAACATAGAATCCAATAGTTCTATAACTTACTGATACTTGATTTCAGTTTTATTCGTCAGTTTCATTGGTTGACCTGTATTCCAAAATGATAAATGATTAAATGTCTTTGTTGAATTTGTTGTATCCAATTCAAGATTAGATGGTTTGAATTGTTTCTGGACAGAATCTTTTATTTGGGAATAATCTGGAAAATAACTGTATTGTAGATACATAAATGAAAATAAACTTTTAATATGTTTAATTAGCAATACAGATGATATTTATTTAATGTAATTCAACTTACTACTCATAAGTAACTGGTTTCCTGACTACAACATTTCCTGCATCCATGTTTCTGTCAGATGTTCATTTGCTAACTATTGCTGATGATATTATCACTTCGAACAATATCTACGCAGGTATAAATGTGTACAATTTGGAAAGATTAAAAATATGACTTGCATTATAGAATCTTAACTGATAACATTATTGAAATACTTTTTTTGAAAAACTAGATATTTCCATGAGTGTGGATTATTCGACTGTCTCATTCATTCCGTTCTCTATTCAAGAATGTATTCGTTTTGGTTATCGGTCATGTGTTAAACGCTGAAATTATCATGTAATTCAAATCTTAAACTGACATCATCGGGTTTGAAACTGTTTATCACTGAACAAAAAAGATTTAAGTGAATTACTATGATATGTCTCATTTAGTTAAAAGTTATTTTTTGGTGAAATTGAACTATATGGTTAACGGTGGAGTTTAGTAAATGCATTTTATTCTATTCTGGGATTTATTAACTTGATGTAGCTACATTCTAGTATTGAGTGAGGTAATAGCAACATACTTACTTACTTACTTACTTATGCCTGTTACCTTTCATGGAGCATAGTTCATTGATCAGCATTCTGTAGCTAAATCTATAATGCTGGACCTTCATTTCTAATTCTACTCGGTTGTTACTCATTCCCAAGTCTCTTTCTTTGGTCATGAGAATTTCGAGTTAGGACTTGTCTATTGATAAAGTTGACTTGTTTATGCAATATGTGCGTTCTATCCACCTTGTCTAACTTCTTAAATAATTCCTCAGCTTTATTTTGGTTTGTTCTTTCCAACAGTAGTTTGTCACTAGTGTCTGACCAAAGGATCCGCACTATCTTGCATGAACAACTAGTGAATGGTGGCTTTCGTGGTTCTACAAGTTCCTGCTCCATACAATAGAACTGCGTATTGACATTTGTATTGAAAATTGTGATTTTCATGTTGGTTGACAGTTGTTTTGAGTTCCTGATATTCTTGAGTTGTATAAATGCTTCCCTTGTTTCGCTCATCCGTATCTTTACAGCTGCATCAGATCGGCCTTGTTTATCGATGGTGCAACTCAAGGACAATAAACATCTCTACCGCTTCCAGAGCTTCTCAGTCAAATGTGATTTGGTCAGAGAATGTAGTGTTGCATCTAGGGGTCTTTCTTTTTCCCTTGTGTGTGTGTGTGTGTTGAGACCTGCTGTTACACTTGTCGTTGTTTCCCGCATTTGTTGTTGTGTTCGAGATAAAATAGCTAGATTATCTGCAAAGTCCAAATTTTCCAGGTCACTTGTCAATCCTAAGAATAATGTAGTAACTATCTCTACATTTAATAGTTTAATGAACGAAAATATTAGAATTCGAAGCGTAAAGATACTTGCCTGTAGGTACAATCAAATAATTAACACCAAAAGCGATGAATTTTCTATCTTCATGGCAATAATTCAACATTACTGATTAAGAATTCACATGACATACTCAGTTTCGCTGTAATTAGTTGTATCTAGTGATTTTATTTTAAACAGTAAAATAGCTTAGAGAAAGAACCATTTCCCAGACTAACAACTTGACAGAGAAACCAACTATGGAATAGAAAGTCTACATGGTTATTGAATAGTCTACTCAATCACTCATTTATGCATACATATACATCCCTCTTCCTTAGAAAACAAAGCCATTTCTTGACCAATGAAATGCATTCGTCCTTTAAAACATCGGATGGTCATCATCAAATGTGACCTTATCGTTTGGCCACTTCTGATTGGCTGCTTATATTATGATCCTAGTTGAGTTAATGACTCAACTTAGTCAAAAAAATGTTAAGATTCTCTTTCATGAGGTTTTTATTGTAAAGCTTTCAAAAAAATTGAATAAACACGTCACGTTAACATTAAAAATTGTTTGAATAAATAAGTAACTTGTATTATATATAATATGTTATCACAAGATTTATCAATACACTAGAAATGGAAGAGAATACTTTGAATGTGTCAACATATATATTTCTATATTCAAATTGAATCTAAAAGTACACATTGATCATACAAAAATCACGTATCATTTGATAATTTTGGAAAAATGAAAGTGTGTGTATTTGAAAGTTTATTTTATTGTTTCCAATGATTAAAAGTTACCCTGGAATACATTGAGGAGCTGTGTGTGAGTACTAAAACTGACATTGTATTTGACTATCTCTCGGTTGTGATAGAATTCCTAGTCAATTCAGTGATTGTTATGCTCGTCAATTGATATGCTTGAATGCTGTAACGAGTTCATGTTAGTCGGTAAATGAGAGCGAAGACAAATTATGCAGTGACACGATAAGCTACTCTAATCCGAGCGTCCCAAGGACCCAATAAGTAGAGGAAGCAGTTTTGATATGGCGTAGAAAGTGTATTCTACAAGCACCCAGAAAATATGAAGTTGACAAGCACACAAATCGAGTTTATTTATACATGATAGAAACATCAACTAATGACAGACAAGGATTTTTCGAATTGGAAATTTAACCTCAAGGTCAACCGATCAGCCCATACGCGGAAGCATAAAAATTCAAAATTAGGACCTTTGTCAAGCTAGTTCTCGGGATCTAATGTCCCCAACAGTGATTAACGAATTATCAGTTTCAATTACTCTTTATCGTTTGGATTGCACCGACCAAATCAACACTTGGTGGAGAAGCTCCGGCGAAGGGAAGAACCGCTACATATCTAGACAGCATCACTGATGAGCAAGGTGGACCTGATGTAGATGTGAAGGCGCGGATCAGCAAAGAAAGAACAGAACAACATCTAGAACTCGAAACAACTGTCAACCTACACCAAAGCAACAATTTTCAATACACACGTCAAGACGGTCCTACTGTATGGCGTGGAAAATTGGAAAGCCACAAAAGACATCATCCAGAAGATGTAAGCGTTGATTAACAATTGTTTACGCAGAATACTTCGAATCCATTGGCCAGACACCATTAGTAACAACCTACTGCAGGAGAAGACAAACCAGATTCCAGCATAGGAAGAAATCAGGAAGAAGCGCTGAAAGTGCATAGGACAAAGTTTGAGGCAAGGACCCAACTGCACCACAAGACAAGCCATCACTTGGAATCCTCAAAAGCGAAGGGAAAGAGGAGGACCAAAAACCGCATTACGCCGAGAAATGGTGACAGGTATGTGAAGAATGAGCGAAAATTGGACAGATCTTGGAAGGAAGACTCAGGATAGAGTAGGTTTGAGAATGCTGATCAGCAGCCTATTCTCTATTCAGGGTAACAGGCAAAAGTAAGTAAGTATGATAGTTGGTAATCGTTAGAACAGTGCTAGAAAACGCTGCAACCAGATCAATAAGAAAAAAATATACCAGAATCAAGGAACAGACAAACATGAGACTGATTAATTTATTCATATGAGTTTTACAGGAAGCCAGTAAAATGTTGAAACAACATCTCATCATCCCCCACAGGGTGTGTAAGCTCCTGTAAGAGTGTAGATTCTCCTTGTTGACAAATGTCAATTCCCACTATATCTTAACTGTAAGACCTCGATTGTCTTCACACATTCTGTCAATCACAGTCATGTTATATCTACCGTTCTGTTTGTTATATATTCATCACATTAAATCTATATATTTTATATGAACTTAACTAGGAAACTATACTTGCTTCATCATAGAACTAAACTGTCCTTATGGCCTTGAAAATAAATAAAGTCAACCAATCATAGTGAAGATAGTGTTTTTTGAATGTATATATGCAGTTTATTTAGAAATGAACTTGTCGATAGTCTACTTAACCATGTTTTTAAACAAGATTTTACATTCTAACCAATTCGGCTCATCTACATAATCTTTGTAAGTGTAATTGTATTGGTCGATTCCTATTGGTCAATATTATGATTGTCCTAGCTGTCAATGTCACATACTTCAATGTTGTTTCCCATTGGTTGTCCTAAATGTCAATGTCACTTCAAATGTTGTTTCCTATTGGTCGTCTTAACTATCAATGTCACATACTTTCAATGTTGTTTCCTATTCGACCAAACTGTTTAAATAGACATTATCTGTGAAGCTTATTATCCCTTGTGTACTCGGCCCCATAAACAACATCTAACGGTGTTGTATTCTGATTTATTGAAGATTTTGTAACAGTATTTGGGGGTCATAATGGAATATCTGAATTTGGTCAATCGGTAAGGATTTTGAAATAGCTACTTAGCGTCATTATTAACTAGAAGAGTACTTGAAGTTATTTATGCGTGTCAAATTGTGACTTACTTCTCTAAGTGTTGAAGATCTTTACCGATAAATGTTTCATTTTGTTTCGTTTTCAATTCTGGTCGCAAAGACAATAATTCATGAGCTTTTTGATTGCTGATTTTTAAATGTGCATTGGTTTCATCATCCTCAGCTAAATACGGTTTACTTCGCATTGATAAATTGTCAAAATTATTTTGTTCAATTGATTTAATGGCATCTTTTAAATGTTGTTGAAATGATAAAATACGAAATTGATCTTGATTTCGATTAGCCCATGTAACAGATAATTGATGTTTGCGTAATTTCAATTCAGTACTTGGTGCTTTCAACTGATTCATAACATGACTTAATGTTTTCGACGGATTCTCACGAATAAAATCGCACAGAGGTGGCTAGACGAAAAAAATTAAATCAAAAATAAAGAGAAAGAGAGAGCAAATAATAATTTGGTTGATAGTTAGAAGTGAAATTATTCAGTCCTGTTTGGCATATGTACATCCGCCAGGAGCCCTTCTGGGGCTACTGCCGATCCCAAGCCCGGACAAAGGAGGAGGGTTGGACTTGCGGGTTGGCGACCCCATCCCGTAGAAACGTTTACTAGGAAATGTAAGTAAGTACATCCTCTGTGGAGGTCACAGCTGATTAGTGTCATATAGAGGATGAAACTCGCATCCCAGTTCCATTTCTAGCTAATATTTCTCTCTGATTATAAGTTTCATGTAGACCATTGAATCTCAAATTAATCATCTGAAGATTAAATGTTCAAGATCATGTGTTCGAAAGTGTTCAATCCCAGGTAAGGTCAAAGATATGCACTATTGTGGAGTTCCATAGGAAGATGGAATAACTGTCTAGGTCCCTTTTTTTTCTGTTTCGAATACCTTATATAACTGAAGTCAGTCACTGATTTATTATTAAGGTGATATACAAAAACGGTTATGTAAAGAGATAGGCTACTGTAATCCGAACGTCCCAAGGACCCAATAAGTAGAGGAAGAATTCTTGATAAGACATAGAAAGTGCTATTCTACAAGCACCCAGAAAATATGAAGGTGACAAGCACATGAATCGAGTTTATTTATACATGATAGAAACGTCCTTGGGAGAGCTACAAATATAGCGTACTAAAATAACAGATTAACCAATGACAGTCAAGGATTCTCCGGGTGGGAAATGTAATCTCAAGGTCAACTGGTCAGCCCATGCACGAAAGCATAAAATCCAAAATTAGGACCTTTATCTAGTGAGTTGGAAAAAAAGTGCGAAAATTATATCTTACTAACTCATTATAACTCTTTGTCATTTTCTAATTCACTACAAGTGGTACTCAATGTGATATTTTATACATTCTGAGATGGTTTCTGATCAAAATTTGCATAGCATCATTGATGAGTGAGTTGAATCTAATACAGATATGAAAGCACGGAGTGGCGAAACAAGGGCAGCACTTCTACAACCTCAGAAATATCTATGACTCAAAGCAACTATTTGCCATCCAACAACAAAGTCACAATTTTTAATAGAAATGTCAAGACAGTTCTACTGTATGGGGCGGAAACTTTGGGAACTATGCCAGCCATCATTCAAAAGATACAGATGTTTATTAACAGTTGTCTACACATGATACTGCGGATCCGTTGACCAGACATCATCAGCAACAGCCTACTTTGAAAGAGATCAAACCAGATTCCGTATGCGCAAGAAATTAGTGAAAAGTGCTGGGTGGTGATAGGACACACATTGTGGGAAACACCCAACTGCGTCATTAGGCAATCCCTCACCTGGAATCCTCAAGGCCAAACGAGTAGATCAAGAAACACACTGTGCCGAGATTTAGAGACAGACATGAAAAGAACTAAAAAAATTGTACAGAAATAGGAAAGAACTCCAAGGACAGAGTATGCTGGAGAAGGTTGGTCTGCAACCTTTGCTCGATTGGGGGGTGTGTGATCAGTATCACAGAAAAGAGCGTTGATTTGTCTGTTATACAGAATTTCCTTGAAAAACAAGTGAACATTTGATGTGTTTAATGTTATCATAATCATTAATGATGCCGAAATAAATGAATTCTCATTTTCACTCTCTACAAGCCGTCTGTTACTCCTACACGTAAACACGTCAACTTGATATACTTGAACTATTACGAGTTTACCTAGTCAGAAAACGAGAGAGAGGATCGAGGATCCGGCGACATGACATGCTACTCAAATCCGATTATACCAACCCCCATATCGAGTAAAAATAAGACTTGATATGAAGTAGAACCTGTATTCTACAAGCATCCAGAAAGTACGAGGGCCCAATCCAGGAGAGAACCAGGATCCCGGACTAGAGATCCGGGACCGAGCCCTGGTCCTGGTCATAAAACGTTACAGATAATGCGTATTTATACATTTTGGTCGAATAGGAAACAACATCGAAGTCTGTGACATTGACAGTTAAGACGACCAATAGGAAGCAACATTTGAAGTGACATTGATAGTCAGGACAACCAATAAGAAACAACATTGGAGCATGTGATATTGACAGTCAGGACGACCATAAAATTGGTCAGTAGGAATTAACCAATAGGAATTGAGCAATAATAATTCTCTTAGGATTATTGGATGAATATCCTAACACCGGCAAATCCAGAAAAAAACAACACCGACACATAAATTTGTTTTAATCAATAAAAGATCATCCATCTTATGAAAACCCAATTGAAGAAAATTGCCGACTTCCCATCTTGTTTCTTGTTAGTTCAATTAAGTAATTAAGATAAATATATTATGAGTATACGTACGATTGACAGTTTAGAAATAATGTAAAAAATTACGCTCTAACCAAGCCGATGATTAATGAATTCTATTCACAACCATAAAAATATACTACTGTCAGGTTAAGATGTATTTCAGAATTAAGTGTGTTTAGAATGATAAATTTGAGCATAGTGTTTACTTGCCTGTTATAAGAGAATGAGATAACTGATACTGTTAGGATATTCATGAAATATCTTAAGAGAGTTATTTTTGTAAGTCTAATCCTATTGGTCAATCCTTATTGGTCAATATTTAAGGTCGTCCTAACTATTAATGTCACGTACTTCAAATGTTGTTTCCGATTCGGCCGAACTGTATAAATATGCATTATCTGTGATGTTTTATGAACCGGACCCGGATCCCTGATTCTCTTCTGGAATCGAACCTCGTACTTTCTGTGTGCTCGTAGAATACATGTTCTACTTCATATCAAGTCTTCTACTTTTACAGAATGAGCAGTTTGGGACACATTCGGATTAGAGTAGCATGTCGTGTCGCCGGATCCTCGATCCTCGCTCTCGTTTTCCGACTAAGTTAAACTCGTAATAGTTCAAGCATTATCAAATTGACATGTGTTACGTGCATTTGTAACAGATACGTTCAACACTATCATCAAGACAAAAATAAGAATTTTCTTCATAACCATTTTCGGCGTTTTCATACAGAATGTATTTGCAACTCTCAGGCAGTCAATCAGTCAGTCAGTCAGCAACGTAGAACTTCGTACAGACGTACATTAGTTCAAGTTGTCATACCATTTTAGAATAGAGACGCAACTCTACTGTTTGTTATGTGATGATATTTGAATTTCGCGCAAGAACTGACAATTCGCATTCACGATTCTGATTGGCTTGTAATCTATATCAAACTTTATTCAATAATCAAATTTAGAACTATAACTCAAAGCTGGTATATTTCTACTTTAGAATTTTAGTACAATAGTGCTTTAGTGACAACCTTAACTGACTACGAGAAATTCTACTCAGTTATTATGTAATCAATGTGGATGTTACATGAATGAATATGACTAAAATTATGCAGAGAAGAAAGAGACCCTAAAGTTGGTTTTTTAGCCTCCATGAATTTGTAGTTCATAGGTGATCTCTAAGAAACTGGGAAAAACATTTTCGACTATCTAGAAGACGAACTGATCATTGTTAGATCACCATTAGAAACTTAAAAAGTACTGGACGGCCACTTCATCCTAGTATGGGACTCATCAGATATGTGCATACATGACCCTCAAACCATTGGTCTGACACTCAAACACTTAGTCTCAAGGTCAACGTGACAATGCATACATAACTGCACATACTATCAGATAAACTTGTCATTCAAATACAGAATCTATACACTTACTTTCCGTGAACTGATAAAGTAAGACATTGACACCGTTAGATACCGGGCTCAGTAGTCCTATGGTTAGGCGTTCGCACACAATACCGAAGGTCCTGGGTTCGAATCCTGCGGGGTACAGGAGTCGTGGATGCGCACTGCCACTGATGAGTCCCATACCAGGACGAAATGGTCGTCTTTCAGTGCTTCCAGGTTTCTAATGGTGGTCTAACAATGATTGATTGATGATTTTGAATTGATCATTGTTAGATCATCATTAGAAACTTAAAAAGCACTGGAATGCCGTTTCATCCTAGTATGGGACTCATCAGCCATGTGCATGCATGACCCTCAAACGCGTAAATCTAACTCAGAACCATTGGTCTTACACTTAAACACTTAGTCTCAAGGCCAACGTGACAATGTATAACATCACTGCACATACTTATCAGATAGACTTGTCATTCAAATACAGAAATCTCTAAACTTACTTTCTTATTACGCCATAATAAACATTCATGTGTGAATGCAGTGAATGTATCTTGTTTTGCTTGAATTAATTGTTTTTCTAAATTATTCAATTGTTCATACGATTTATATCTTAGCAAATTCCAAAGATGTTGTGCACCATAATTTACTCCCATATGATGTCGTAATAGATCAATCAAATCAAATTTGTTGGTGTCTTTCAGCGATGGAGGAAGTGAATGACGTCGTCTTGATTGTTTCTTCATCTTCTTCCTCTTCCTCTTCATAACACCATCATCAGTAGAATCGGCAAGACTGGGTTTTATATCATCAAATAACCATGGTTTCAATTCAGGATGAAATGGTATACGTGCACCATGTAACATACCATTTGGATAACCGCCAAGTAAACGTTCCGTTGATTCCGTTGATATAGTTTGAGTTTTTGATGATGATTTTTGAAAATTTGGATTCAAAAAATAATTAGCTATTTCTTTACCCCAAAGTTGTTTAAGTAGAAATTCATGTTCTTCCTCATCCACATCCTCCTCCTCACCATCATCATGTTCATCGTGATCATTATGCGCGTCATCATTGATTTCTTCAGCTGTTGGTATCTAAAATGAAATATATACAGCATAGTATATATAATGTGTTCAATAAAAAAATAATATACATCTCGTTCAATGATCAACTAACCGTGTGACCTTGAGCAACCAATCAGATCACAGATAATTTTACATGTTATTTTAACATTACTTTTTTAGGATTATTCTCATTACAAGAAAACTTTTAAACAGAATTGTTCAGAATTTTTTGTCAATTTGAGGAAATCAACATCAGACAAATATGTTTTTATTATAATCGGTCACTGTGTATGTAGGAACTGTTTAAGTAAGGTACATTTTCATTTTATTCTTAAAAATGATCAATTATATCATGGCGTATACATAGTGAATTTGAAAATTTATGCCTGAAATACATCTAAGATTTCTATCTGATTTCAACAGAATTGTACAAAATAAATTACTGTCTCATTCATGGATCCGTACACTTATTTATTTGACTGACATAATCACTTATGCATGACAAGGCGTAAACGCATTTGCTTTTCTTCGTTAAGACATTTGTTCAACTTGATGTGATAGAGATTCTATATTTTAGTTATGAAATCTTAGCTTATTGTCTTTTGTCAAGTGTTTCGAACCGCCAAACATCACTACAGAAACTTTTGATTTTGACCAATTTGATCTCTCGTGTTGTTACGGGTCATGTTGGTAGATGTAGACTACCTGATTGGGGTCCGCGAGACGATACTAACCGATGGTTAGAGACCTTAAACGACATGGCTCAGAATGGTTTGCAATGACGCAGGTGCATCTACTAATTGTGGGCTTTTTAATTCTAACCTTCTGAATTCCTCATAATCTCTATCTTTCTCCTTCTAAATTTATTTCGCTGATTTATACTTCTAGAATCATATCTTCACTCTCTAATCTTCTCCATTACTGCTAATAATTCTGCTGTCGCTATCACTCTTGGGTTTGAACTGACAGTTACGTCTCTGTGCTGATGTGGTTTGGCAACTTGAACTGATGTACTTACGTACGAAGTTCTGTGTTGTATCTGTCTACTGCATAAACTTTGATAATTAGAAAGACATTATTATACTTTAAGTAGGTCACTGACGTCTTTCAAAGTTGTCGATTTATGAAATGATCAAATGAATCCCTTGTTGAAATGATTTAATTAAGTTCATCTAAGCACATGGTAGTATTAAATGTAGGAGGATGTGTGGAATAATCGATAATTTTGAAGATCAACAGGTGAAATGAATGATATTGTTAGGATATTCATCAAATATCTCAAAAGAATTGTTTTTGTAAGTCTAATTCTATTGGTCAATTCCTATTGGTCAATGTCACAGACTTCAATGTTGTTTCCCATTGGTCGTCCTAACTGTCAGTGTCACAGACTTTGATGCTGTTTTCTACTCAACCTAACTGTTTAAATACGCATTATCTGTAACGTCTTATGACCCGAACCCGGATCCGTAGTCCGGGATCCTGATTCTTTTCTGAACTCGGACCTCATACTTTCTGAATGCTTGCAGAATACAGGTAGGTCCTACTTCATATCAAGTCTTCTTCGTTTACTCGATGGGACGTTGGGATAATCGGATGAGAGTAGCATATCAAGTCACTGGATCCTCAATCCTCACTCTCGTTTTCCGACTAAGGTAAACTCGTCATAGTTCAAGCATATCAACTGGACGTGTTTACGTGCATACGTAACAGATATCTTAAGTAAATCTAACATCTGTTAGGCAAATTCGATAAGAAATCAATTTACACTCATGTTAGTCATCAGTTTTCAGTGTTTTTTTACAAGTGTAGTAAAATAAACTATACAAATTTTGTTTAAAACTTCCGTTGTTCATTTTATGGGCTTTTTTCCATTGGCCTATTGTTTTTAAAAGGTGGAAAGCAAAATCCTTAGATATAACAAAAGACGCACCGCACCAATCAAATCCCACCTGACGGAGAAGGTTTGGATAATGTAGAAACTTTTGCATATCTGGGCAGCCATCATTCATAAGCTAGGTTGATCTAATTTAGATTGGCAAAGCAAGGGCAACATTTCTATAACTGAAGAACATTTGCAACCCAAATCAGCTACCAACTAACGCCAAAGTCAGAATTTCCAATATGAATGTCCAGACAGTTCTACTGCATGAGGTGGAAACTTGGAGAACTACAAAAGCTATCACCCACATGATACAAGTGTTTATTAACAATTTTCTACGCAAAATACTTCGGATCCAATGGCCAGACACTATCAGAAACAACTTGCTCTGACAGAAAACACATCAGATTCCTGCAGAGGAAGAAATCAGGCAGTAGCACTGAAGTTGGATCGGATAGACATTTCGGAAATCACCCACCTGTGTCACAAAACCAGCGCTCATATGGAATCCTAACCTGACCAAAGGAGAAGAGGCAGACTGAGGGATACATTTTGCCGAGAATCAGAAGCAGACATCAAAAGAACGGACAGTAATTTTATAGAACTGGAAATGAAAGTCAATGACAGAATGGATTGGAGGATTGTGGAAACTTTTTGTTTCTAGATGAGGTGAAATTGATAATTTTACTCCGATCTTGTATGCACGTTTTGGAGACACAATATACATCGGTCGCCCGGGATTTTAGAGTTCTAGCTAATGAAACCTGTTGCCCTATTTGACATAGGGTTCGAACGTTAAAAGCTCATATATGTAATTGAGTACGGGGTTTCAAGAGACCAGGATTAATGTTTTGTGAGCTCATACCGTTTGATTCAGTGGAGTGAGGTGATAAACGATCAAAAGAAGGGTTAGTCGAGGAGATAAAAGAGTTATTAAGAGGTGTAGAAAGGATTCGATTGTGACCGATTTTGTCTCGCGTGCTTTTATTGGTATGAGGGCGGAATTTACTTCCTGGTTGCCCACACCGTTTAAGGGTGTTTCTTGAGGAACCTGAGAAGAAAGTAGATTAGCGTTGGTCTTATCGACCTGGGAACGTGACCCCAGAGCCGAAGGGACAACTGCTTGAGGCTGGTTACGCACGGCCTTTTTATGAAAGGTATTTAGAGTATTAGCTCTGTGAGAAGGCAGCATCGCTGCAGATGCCGGTTGTCTGAGGGCAACATCTTACTGCTGTCACACCCCTCCATCAAAGTCGGCAGTATGACTTCGCCCTCAGACCTTGAGTAGCTGCTTTTAGTTTCATCGTCCTCCAATCGACATGCCTGGCATAGTAGAACCTTCAGGAACATATGTTCCAGCCAATATAGCTCGGTTTGGCCATCACGTCAAGGTAGCAGTTACGGTTGGGTCTGATAGTATTTACTTCATTTTTATTTATGTAAAATAAACCAAGAGTATTTGATCGGTATAATTTGTCAAAGTGAAACAAAAAACCTAATTTGAAAACTTACTTGATCTTCAGATGATTTTTCATTAACTCCAGAATTATCAACAGAATCCTCTTTTACTGTTGCCATTACCATATTTTTTACATGAATTTTGTGTATTCAGAAATGTTTGTAATTTGAATTACCAGAAGAAAAGTGAAGTACTTTTCTAAAAATAAAATTAAATGGACAGTCACTTTATTTTTGTAAAAATCAAATAGGACATTCATAGGCCTATTTAACGCAATAGCTGTTAATAACTAGTAAACTATGCAATGCATAACGAGCTTGTTTGATTTACTCGCTCAAAATCGTTCGCAATGGCGCCTATGCATTTATTCTTTGTGTTCTCTCAAATCCTAACCTTCTGGGTTCTTCAACACCTCTAGTTTTGACTTTCTAAACTTTTCTCATTAAATCATACTTCTTGAATAATATCTTCTCATCCTAACCTCTCCGATTACTTCTAAAATACCTTTACTACCTCTTCTACTACTATTGGATTTGAATTGATGATTACATGTCTGTGTGTTAATGTGGTATGGCAACATGAACTGATGTACTTACATACGAAGTTCTACGTTGCATCTGACTGACTGACTGAGTGACTCGCCTTGTTATTTTATACAATTTTTATAATCAGATACACAGTATGTGCTTGCCTCTTTTTTAGCTACAAAAGTTAACAATATTACTACTCATAGTCAACTGATTCAACCATCCAACTATTGATTCTTAGTCACTGAAATGTGTTCGAAAACACAACTAAAAATTACTTTGAAACACATAATAAGCGTTCAAATGTGATTATTCACATTATTTCTCTTAACTAGTGTGAAATAAATTTACTTTCTTGAATCTGGGCCACTAACATGACTTTTTACGGTCTTGTACATTTAGGTATGGGACAAAGTCTAAAAGTCGAACGGACATAACAAATAAATGGTCGCTTGAATGTTACAGTAAGGACGCAGAGAAATTACAAATAAACACTATTTATTTGTTGTTTTTACCTATAGACATGAAGTTAAGGGTAATTTTTGTTAAAGGCTCAGTCAGTCAGTCAGTCAGATGCAACGTAGAACTTTGTACATAAGTATATCAGTTCATGTTGCCATACCACATCAGCACAGAGAAGTAATCGTCAATTCAAATCCAATAGTAGAAGAGGTAGTAAGGGAATTAGAAGTAATCGGAGAGGTTAGAATTAGAAGATATTATTCACGAAGTATGATTCAGTGAGAAAAGTTTAGAGAGTCGAAACTAGAGGGGTTGAAGAATCCAGAAGATTAGCATTTGAGAGAACACAGAGAATAAATGCACCGGCGCCATTGCGAACGATTTTGAGCCATGTCATTCAAGGTCTCTAACCATCGATTATTATCATCTCGCGTACCCCAACCAGGTACTCGACAATTACCGACATGGCTCAGTCCACTTGTCAATGACTTCATGGATTTCTGCCATATTTTGGTTTGGCCGCCCCTAGCTTTCTTCCAACCTATTCCTACACTACAAAACAAGGCTCGACGAGGCAGTCGGTGGTTGGGCATACGCAACACATGTCCCGACAACCTCCACTGATGAAGTTTCAGCACTTCATCTATTGATCTGCCATCCTTACCTAGTACTCGTTTCCTAACGACAGCATTGCTCACTCGGTTGTCTCACGGTATACAAGCAATGCTTCGAAGACACCTATGATCGAAAACCAGTAACCTACGAATATCTTCTACTCTCACTGGCCATGTTTCACAGCCAAAAAGTAAGACGGAGCGAACCACTGCGCAGTACACTCGTCCTTTAGTCAGCAAACGGATATCTCGCCTACGCCATAAGTGACGCAGGTTGGCAAAAGTTTGTTAAAGGCTAGAGTAATGGATACATAGAGGTGACTCATTTTTTCAAAAATGCACAGAAAAGCTTTTAACAAGTATCATCTGTAAGCATTGTTACTTCCTGTGGCTGCCGGTCGATATCAGGATTCGGATTCTACTACCTCCTTGAAAGATTTTTTATCTGCAGTTTGATCAGTTACACAACTAATCAGCACTAAAAACAATGAGCTGACATAGTCGGTTGTCCACAGTTCGATCTCAAGTCCTTGCCTTGAATCTAAAAAGTAGCAACCAGCCTCTACTCGAATAGACTTTGTTTACAAACAGACACGCTAAACAGCATCACACCATGAAATGAAAAGTAACAATTATATATTAGCAAGCCAAGAGTCTATGAATAAGATGGATTGCAAGTGATAGACTGGCAATAGATTAGGATTATTTCAACCATTAGAATCCTAAATTAATTTTAGCTAGAACTCTATTGGAAGCCTGAAGCACTGAATGACTAATCAGTCATAGTCTCTTCAATACCGAGCATCCACGACAACGCATGTTGTAATCGAAACCTTGACCTTTGATTTCTCGCGTGAACGCCTAGCCTGTAAACGAGTGAGTTGGTGTTTTACAGTTTTGATTTCTACCTTCAATTAACTCATGTTCTTGTGCAACCATTTGCTGATTGCCCGTGGCGGACAACTGTCTCACATCCGATACGGACCGAACAGTAGTTATTAGATGTACTAAAAGAACAGAGCAAATGAAATATGTCTACAAAGTAATCTGTTCACTCCGTAATCATGCAACAAAATTAAAGCAATTAATGATCGAAAAACTAGTTTGAACTACTGCAATGTATGTTTCGTCATAATAACCTCAGGAATAGATAGGTCTGCTACAGTTAGTTTGAGGCTTCCCTCAGGTTTCACGTTATTTTGTGGTAAAATACAGACTAGATTAGGTTTCGAGATTGACAAGGTCCTCCCTCTTCCAGTGATAAAGTAAGAAAACACATATATCATCTAAAAAACCGTCATCAAAAATTATAAACTAAATCTGTGTGCTCGTGCAGTATGATAAGGTGTTTTTAGATCATTTTGTTAGCTTTTGTCTGATTATAAATTTTGTAACGGACCTTGTTTAGTCAGAGGAAACCTCGTGTACTGAAGAAACACGCAGGGTGTGGTTATTGAGGAGAAACTGGGAGACCTAGAACAACATAAGGGCTGAGCCAACAACCCCGCGAGCAAACAACATTAACGTAGATTATTAAGGTTAATAATAAACACGATTTAATAATCAACCACCCTTCGGATACAAAGAGTTATATATATATATATATATATATATATATCTTTCTCACTAGCTAGTATAAACCAAATGATTTCTTTGCGCTCGATTCCAGTTCGAAAAGTGAAACTAGGAAAGGATAGCGTAAAGATTTATTGCACGTATGAGCTACACATTCATATACGGTCTATTATAACACCGGCTTTTGATAAGTTTGTGCGGGTTATCTGGACGAGGAAAGAACCAGGGAGAATCCCAGCCAGTGATTCATTAGGAACATGAAATTTTATTACTTAAGGTGTAGGAGGCAATCAACAACATTCAGAGATTAAAAAAACCATTAAATAAGGACCTACTGATAATCGGAACTTGGAGTTGGTAGCGCAAGATTTCGAATGCGCTACATTATATGTTGTCATGATGATCACCCATAAATATTTAATACTTTTTTCCAATGAATGCTTTGTAGCTTATTTCACTTTAAGAGGGAAATATTGTACTTCACTTGTTTCTTGATTTTGAATAACAGTTTCAGGCCTCCAGTAGCATACACAGAGTGTTTCCCCGTCACTCAACCTCGAGTCGAAGCTATGTATGATATTCAGGCCGGGTTCCTGCCTAGCCGACCTACATTTATATTTTTTATTTTTCTCTCTGTAGACCAATATCTTTCGCACTTTCCGTCTAGATAGTCTAACATTTTATCCTTTGGTCCATTGAGTATCATGCTCCTGTCATCACACACTAGTATGAGTAATTAGCACAAATCCATAAAAAAGTCATCGGACAAAACTTCTTGATCTCATACGATATCCTAATATATTAGATCAACATCTGATCTAAAAACAGTGGGGAAATGTCAGAAATGTTATAGAACACACTATTTAATGTCGGTCGAACTTAAATATAAACTGATAATACAGTACACCTGGACCACTGTTCCGATGATAGGACGTGCTCTACAGGTGAAATAACTCTCGACTTTCATAGTTCCACAGAAGTGTTCACCGCTTTTTGATCAAGAATCTTTCTAAAATTCCGAAAAAATGATGCTTTAGATGAAAAACAGACGATGAAACTTACCACAAGGTACTTCTAAAACGATATTAGTAGTGTAAGTGGCAAATTATGAGGAAGTCAGAAAATTTTTCTTTCATTTGTATATGAAGATTGTATATCTAACTGAAACATGGATTTATCCCTCTCAACCTTCCAAATGATCGAAAGGATATAATAGGCAGAAAAATTTGCCGACTCTACGGGGTACTTAAAATAGGTGGTAACCTGGTAATATATATTAACACACTCCTGAAATCCATAATACCACCCAGTAACGAATTGAACGAGTTGACAATCATACAGCACAAAACGGTTGACTGAATATATTTAATGAGCCCCCACTTGCAATGACACTATGAAAAGTAAGATAATCGATGCGAGATTGGAACTAAAACAATCGGTGTTCGGTCCATTGTCACTAGATAAAAGCTTCAGCACTTCACCCCTTGTTGTGGTCGATATTTGATATATTCCTGAACGTCTTACACTACTTGTCCGGCTAACATTAAAGCCGAATGGATGCACGTATGTGATAAGCAGTACTCAACCTAAAATTCTCATACAGCCATCAGAGTTTCAGAACATGCGTATGTATCACAAGATGAGGTAGAGAAAGAAAAAGCCAAAAATCGAACTATTGTTACGATTTATTGACATGAGATGAGCTTCGAGTAAAATATATTCATCTTTGAACCCCACATGAAATTACTGACCATGACACACTCATTTTCAACGTTGCCAAAAATAAGGTAATTTAATGGGAAGGCAGTGCACCTTTCATAAACCAAACGGTCTCTGCTCTCAAATAACATTACATAGAAGATCAAGTCAACCTGGATATTGTAGGAACTCTTAATTCAAGTCTTGCCAGTCATCTAAGCCAGGTGCCTACAGTTGATGCATAAACGTCAACTATAGTGTCAGGTGATGGCCTGACAGATATCTAACTGACTCCCAAGTAAGTAACCTAAATACTACAATTCTTATAACCGGAAAGTTACCAGGATGCTTCAACTTCTGTTCGGCTCTCCTGAATTAGTGCAGCGTAGTCATCGGTATTACGCTATATAACCTGTTCATGAGATTACTACATCACAGGAACGAGATGATTCACTTTAGAAAAACGGTCACTTCAAAAATGGGTCAAAAAGTAGTCATTTTATAACAGGTTCGCTAAATTTATTTGTCATTTAGCGCCGCACCTAATTATCACGAACTCTCAGTAAAGTCGTCACAACACTGGGCAGAGCTTCAAGAAAGGGCTTGACAAGCACGCATTCATTCACGTATTTCTGTCTGCATATTGGACTAGCTGTGTCTGATTCATGTCACTTAACATACCTATTGTTACCACCAAATGTATCGTTAATTTACTCTAGTCTTGCCTGATAATACTCCTGTTTTCCGTTTTACTATTATACTTCATCCCTCAAACTATCTACATTGTTAGTTGGTGAACGAATTCATCCATTTATTTATCAAAAAAATAACTTTATCTAGGTATCAAAATATTCTTCTCGCTATTTTTCGTTGCAGCCGACCGACTTCGTGTATGATAAGACTATAAATTTTGGTTCTAGACACCCAACTACCCTGGAATTAGAAGACATACAGAATCACAAATAACTACAATACTGGCAGTAGTGTGACAAGGATTCTCTGCACTGAATAAGCAAAGACTAAAGACTATACTCACACAACAGGAGATTATAAAAAATGAGTCGACTAGTTTATGCGGCATATTCCTGAGGGTATTGTATATAAGAGACAAATTTAAGTTTGTGGATATTGAAATTTGAAATGAGGTTGGTTTGAGCGTTACGCTGCAACTTGTTGAGCGTGAACTTGTAAAGTAAATGACTTGTTTGTTTATCTATAAGTGAGCTGAGTTCAGTAATATATTTATTCAAAATATGTTCAGAATTCTTTTTTCATTCATTGGGCTAAGGTTTATGGATGTTTCAAGGGTCACTCTGTCAGCACCATAGAACGTTACTGGGCTCTGTTTATTAAGTCTGAAACACATTGCTAGTTTATGATAGTAGTGTGAAGGAAGATCAACAGTGAATATTTTTCCAATTATGCTTATCATGTATATTGCAGACTTACAAGTTCTCATCCTACTCACTCTGATCCGAAATAAACAAACTTCAAGGGATTTCGTTATGTCGCTCTGGGATCATCGTCCCGGAGCTTGACTGCATGATTTTCCACTTTCTTTCTTACGACTATTGTGAAAACTATTAGGCATTCAAAATCTGCTATAAACTCAAGGTGGCAATTGTTTCCAACAGAATAAGTGTCTGATATTCGGTCTGCTTTCGTATTTTATAATTCCACTTTAAACCTCAAGAACATGAAATGGTCGGAATCATCGTACACATTTAAAACGTTTATTTTTCTGGATATATTGTAACTTTCGAGCTATTTTTTAGAAAAGAATAAAAGACTAGGGTTAGTGATAGTGCTCGTGGAGTTATAACTTTCAAACTTTATTTTATTCAGTCATATTTGAGCCATCCTAGGATGTCTCAAATTCTCGTTCGTTGTAAGTAATTGTAATGTAAAGAATTTCATACCGGAATTACACTAAACAGTAGGGCACAACTGCTCTGTGACGATCACATATTATCATTGATTTGTTCCTTCAAGTTTTTTCTGTGTTTATATCATTATGGAGCGTAAACTGATGTAATCGAAAGTAGCAATCAGTTTCTTATTATCCCTCAGTGTCATCAGTGTTCGTTTTAGGTTTGTGGACAGTGCAGAATTACACATATATTTATATCCACGATATTCAAAATATCTTGGGTTAGAAGCGTATTGTATTCACTATGCATTTATAATCGTTGTAGGATGGGTTTTAAATTCAGCCTAACGTAACATCATGAACTCGCTAAAAGCCTTATAACATGGGTAATTTTATGTACAATAAAATTAAAACAGAAACTGATGTTTCCAAAGTAGTACGTCTCTTTATACTGACTAAATCATTACATAAATTTTAAAGTAACATTTAAAAAACCAATTAATTAGTACTGGGTACTGCATTTGGACATTTATAATATTTACGATTGCTGTTTATGATGCTGTCAAGTTTCATCAACTAATCATCTGTTTTATTATTTCAGGTATTCGGTTTTATATTCTTTTTGTCGCCAAGTTCGATCTGCTTGATTTGATCTGTTCTAATAGTGAGTACTTCACTAGTAAATAAAATATGGATGGGATTGTCACATATGAATCCTCTTCGTCAGATGATGAAATTCTCAAACAAGACACTGCTCCAACGGGACTTTTAAAAAGTAGTTTAATTAAATCCATAGATGTTGCACCAGTTGTTGAGCACAAGGTAATGTGTATAAATGACAATTATACGATTTTATACTTTTACTATTAGGATGAATTCCTATCGATCGTACCTGTTGATCCACAATCTCGTGAATTAATTCATAATCCTACCTACGAAGAATTATTTGCACCTTCTGTAAGTTATTCCTTTATTGTTGATATGATCTACTTTTCAAGTTTGGTCCAGTAAATCCTTTTAAATCTGAGAAACAATTAGCGCCTAAAAATACTTTAACTGGTTATGTTGAAGAGGCTCATGTTAATAAGTTTTCTTTTGAAAATCAACATCGAACTTTCATGACTTATGGTGAGTTTATGGTGATTTAATTTCTATTGATTTATAATAGGTTATGCTGAAGATCCTTCTGTTGAGGGAGGTGTTGATCGACGTTTAGTTGGAGAGACGGAAAGTATGACAGAAAATGAAGGTGAGGTTGAAATAAATAATTGCACTTAGATTTTTTTCGGATATTCGTTGACAAACCTTGTAAATATATGTAAATAAATATAGCTAGCAAGAGTAGATGATATTTGTAGGTTACTGGTTTTCGATCATAAGTGTTTTCAAAGCATTGCCCGTTTATCTTGTGACTATCGAGTAAGCAATTCTGGTGTTAAGAAGAAGGTACTGTACCAGGTGAGGATGGCAGATCGATAGATGAAATATTGGAACTTAATTAGTTGTGGTGGTTGAGACATGTGTTACGTATGTCTAACCATCGACTGTTTCGAAGAGCTGTGTTTTGTAGTGTAGGGGTAGGCTGGAAGAAAGTTAGGCACGGCCAGACCAAAACATGACACAAATCTATGAAGTTACCGACTGATGTACTGGTCCATGATGGTAGGTGTAAACTACCTGGTTGAGATACGTGAGTCAACCGTAGCCAGTAGATAGAAATTTTAAATGACATAGCTCATGATCGTTTGCAACGGCGCAGATATATCCATTGTTTGTGTCATCTGAAATTCTAATCTTATTTCCTCATCATCTTTCCCTTGTTG